AATGCCGAGTAGTAGTCTTATGAAAAAATCAATAAGTGGCGGGGAGATTGCTACCATTGAAATGGAGGTGCAGCTTATTGGCGATGATGCCGTGATTAGGATGCAGTCGAAGAATTTGAGCCATTCGGCGGCGAAGTTGATGGCGGAGATGCGGGAGCTTGGTTTGGTTGTTCAGCACGCGACTGTTGTAAATTTCGACGAGCTGACGCTGCAAGACGTGATTGTTCGAGTGCCGGAGACTTTTCGGGGCGACGGCGATAGGTTAAGGCTTGCTCTCCTTGCGAGGCTGGAGAGGAGTCCATGAGTTATACGCAGTATCTCTTAACAAGTTCACTGTCTGAATTAAAGATCGTTGTTTTGCTTTTTCTCGTTAGCCGATGTTGAGGACGAGAAAATATTACTTTGTTAGGTTGTGCGGAAAAGAGCTGATTTCAGAATTCAGTACTGTCGCCTAGCGTCGCAACCTGAATTGTAAATGTGGCCGGCATTGATGGTTATAGCAATAAATGTAACGAATTGGTGGGTGTATTTTATTTTTCGTTTTAATTTTGAGACATTTACGTACATGGCGCATTATTCTTATGAATTTAGACGTCTAACAGATAATCTTTAATTCTTTTACATTTCGTCATTCAAAATTTTCATATAAAATTATTAAAAATTTCATTATTATTAAATTTTAAAAAATAAAACATATTTTCATGCATAACTAAAATAATATAAAGATCAAGATTTTGATGTTTGATAAGTAAGAACATAGGAATTTATACGTAAAAAATGTCTCAGCACAAATATTAAAGAAATTTGAGAGTCCATAAGGAAGATGATGTGGTGGTCTAGGATCCATCAGGTACAGTTCAAGAGCCCGCATTTATCCGGCCGGCTCCCACTAGTCGGGAGAAAAATGAATCCGAGGCGGACAGAATTCGGCCATCCTCACAAAGTGTTACTGGCATTAACCTCAAGCAGGACAAATCGGTTGGCATTCCTCAATCAAGGCGGGTGGATGATACAAATCGGTAGGATCTCTAGCAGTCAGTTGGCATCGGTATACCCTTTGGCCATAGCCGCCTAGGTGATGACCCGGTCGGTCATTCTCTGCTCCCAGAGCATAACTTCCCAAACCAAAATTCGGTTGGAAGTCATCTCAGGCACTTGACCATATAAGTATGTGTTAACCAAACTACCGCATGTTGTATCTATTTTTCTAGACAAAATGTAATCTCACAACCCCTTTTCCTACAATAGGGTTCATCTTATGAATAAAAGTTACACAATTTTATTGTTCATTATTTTGCTCTATCTTCTTTCCCTCCTTTTCGCGCTCTATTCCTTAGGCGTGTCACTCTGAAAGTTTGGATTTAACATCCTAAAAACTGTGGTGAGTGTCGACAAAAAAAGAGGAGTGTAACCATCACAATAAGAAGAAAATCGTCGGAGAGAAATGACCAATGCATAGTACATTAAAGAAGGCGTAGAGGAGTTTGTGCAATAGGAAATGCAAGAGTTTCGGATAATGAATCAGGTATCGAGCTTGATCACAGAAGTCCTGAGGGCTATTTTGACTGTAGGTGGAGATCAGTCTCCTCAAGGACAGAACTCTCCTCAAGAGGCAGTGTCAGTGCACCATGGAAGAAGACTGAACCATTGTCTCGAGATGGCCAAAGATTCGCAGTACCAAGCCAACACTAGATCTTCACAGGCAAAGAGAGAGGTTTGGGCTTATTGAGGCACTGCGTCAGCCAGAGAATCCTTTCTCCTTTCATATTTAGAAATCGAGCAACATAAAAATTCAAACTCTCGACATTGGAGGTATATAGAGGCTTGTTTGAACCCAATAACCACATCATCTTGTTCGAATACACAATTTGCATGTTGATGGTCCGGACAAATTCAAAGTCGTATGTTCTTTATCATCTGGTGATCATTAGCCTTAAGGTGGTTCAACTCATTTCCGACCAGAATCATCAGTAGCTTTTTGGAATTCTGCAAAATTTTCTTGGTGTAGTTTGCAAGTGTTGGGGCACCAAAGAAGAGTACACGGTCCTTGTGGCAGATGAAACAAGGACTAAATGAGAGCCTGCACTCCCACATTCTGAGATTCCAAAGGGAGATGCTGGATGTAAAGAACCTTCAATCCAACATGGCACAGGCTTCCCTGAAATAGAGCCTGAGGTCAGGGAAATTTTGTTACAAACTCAGTTTGCAGGACCCTAGGAATTGACTGAGCGGCGGGAAATGGCCAACAAGCAGATCATCGTCGAGGAAATCATCCCTCAATTAGAGTTGATAGACCACTGAGCCTAGAAGAGAGCCCTGCAAATTGACGGGTGAAGATCAAGAGAGGATCACAGACCATCCTTCTGACCATGGTATAATGATAGTTGGCCCGTTTGAGCAACAAAGGGTATGACCTTTGTAACAATCAGGGACGTCAGATAAGGAGTTGAGACCAGCGACTTGCTCAATATGGCGGGTCAACCCAACACTTTGAAAGACCGTTCGATAAGTATGAGGGACTCCAAGCCACCCTACTTAGATTGTCGATGGTGAAGATTGTGAATGCCATCCAAGATAAACAGTACTTCAAAAAGGTTTCATCAATGAGGGTTGGAGCTTTTCTCCGAGATATGACGAAGTACTTTAGTACCACGGGGACCACTAACACTATAAGGAGGAATGTAGGAACCTTTGAAACCTTATCGAGGAGCTTATTAATGTCAAAAATTAAAGAAGTTTGTCAACCCGGGGGACTTAATTCAAAGGCACGGGAAGGCCTCAAAAGGATAGGCCCAAACATACCCATCCAAACAAATGTTTTCCACATCACTGAGATAGTTTCGATTATTTTTGAAGCAACAAAGTGGTCCTGACAAGCCTCCAACAAGAGCTCTAGGATGGGGGAACTGTGCAACATCTCATCCATGTAGTGAAGGGGGCAACTGTGCAACATTTTGACGCTATTGTTGTAATGGAGATAATAAGCAATTTTCAAGTTGGGAGTATCCTGATTGACACTAGCAATTCAGTGAACATCTTATTTAAGTCGGTGTTTGATAAGATCAATCTTCATGCCAACCGGTTGGACACGACTTTTGATGAGAAAGGAAGGAGGCCCTAGGCATTATGCCACTAGCGACTACTTGGGGAGAGGGTGAAGAGCAGTTCACGGAGATGGAGGTCTACTAGATAGTAGACTCGCCTCCTACCTACAATGTCATCTTTGATCATCAATTATTGAACCAGTTCAAGGCCGTGGTATCCACATACCATGCCATGGTCAAGTTCCCAAGAGATGGTGAGGTGATCACATTCTAAGGAGATTTGGAACCATCTCGAATCTATTACGTTTGGGCAGTAAGAAGCATGGGGCATGATTCAATCAACCTACAAAACCAGAGGGAAGGAGGTCTCGAGATCAATGAGACAACTCTGGAGATTCCTTTCAATAATATTGAGACTGTTAAATCTTTCTTAACATGTCAAATATTTCATGTCGGGCACAGAGAGCTGCTGGTTTAGACACTTTTGGACCATCATGACTTCTTCACTTGGTCCAATATTAAGATGTTGAAAAAAACTAGTCCATGTCACCTGCCACAACTTGAATGTGAGTACCACCATTCAAATAAGAAAAAAGAAGATCAGAAACTCAACAGCGGAAGTGGTCGAGCCCATAAGAGAAGAGGTACTGAAGCAGAAGGAAGTGGGCTACATAGAGAGTGCAGTATCCCACTTGGGTGTCAAACGTCGACATGGTTTAGAAGGCCAAAAAAAGTGACAAATGTGTGTAGACTTCACAATCCTTAATGTCCCTTGCTCGAAGAACCGATACCCTTACCGAGGAACGACGCCCTGTTGGATTCAATTGTGGGACATTCCATGATGAGTTTCCTGTATGCCTTCTTAGGTTATCATCAAATAAACATGCAATGGTCGATTCTTAGAATACTACTTTCATAACTATTGATGGTGTTTTCTATTATAATGTAATGCCCTTTGGTCTTAAGATTGTTGGAACAACATACCAGAGCATGATGGATGTAATTTTTGCTAATAAAAATGGAAACAATATTGAAGTATATGTGGATAATATCTTGTGAAAATCCAGTAGCTGAACAACATATAAATAATTTAAAAGAAACCTTTGAATCCCTTAAAAACTATAATATGAAGTTACATCTTCTAAAATGCGCATTCAGAGCCTCAACTGACAAGTTCCTGTGCTACATCCAAACTCCGAAAGGCATAAAAGCTAACTCAGAGAAAAGTTATGTGTTGATTGATATGTCTTTATCCAAAAATATCTGAGAAGTGTACAAGTTGACCAACTGGCTTGCAGTCCTCAGTCGGTTCATTTTGAGGTTGGGTGATTAGTGAGCAGCATTCTTTAAGACACTCAGAAAGGGTAAAAGCTTTAAGTAGATAACTGAGTGTCAGCAGAACTTCCAAAACCTAATGGACTCTCTAGCTTCACTACTGCTTCTCCAAAGCCCAAAGTTGAATGAAGAATTCTCATTATATTTGGGAGTGGGAGCTGAAGAAATTAGCTTGATTCTAGTCAAAGAAGAGTCAAGAAGGCATTCCGGATCAACTACACTAGTCACGTCCTCTAAGGACTGGAGATCAAGTACCTGATTATGGAGAAACTAACCTTTTTTTATGTGTCAGCTCGTAAGTTGCAAACTTATTTTAAAACACATCACATTCAGTTGATTTTATATCATTCGCTGAATTTGGTGCTTGTCCCACCAGAACTCTCCGACCCACTACTCACGTTGAAAGTAAAGCTGAGCAAATTTGACATCATGTGCATACCCCAAACGGCTATAACATTGTAAGAGATTGCAGATTTCCTAGCAGAATTCTCAGAGCAAGAGAGGTTAGGTGATGAAGATCTAACCAAACGACAAGAATGTATCCTATATGTAGATAGTGCCTCGAGCCAATCCAAGGTGGAATTAAGGATTTCTCTTAGTATCTCATCAGAAGAGAACTTGTAACACTTAGGAGCTATGGAGTTCGAGGTAACAAAGAACCAAGTAGAATATGAAGCTTTGATCGTCATATTATGTCTCACATATGAGAGTGGCACCTGATTGTTTATTGTGAAGTTAGACTCATAGTTGATAGTGAATCAAATAATGGAGAATTTAATGCTAGAGATAAAGTGATGATCAAGTACTTGAATAAATCCACAAAAGATAAATGGAAATTCAAGCAGTCATGCATGACGATAGAGAAGAAAACAAGGTGACCAACTATTGACCTCTCTTTTGGTTGGGGTTTAGTATTCCCTCTTTA